AAACTAATAATTTTCTGAATGGATACCAGTATGTTGGGTACACAGACGGATGAATACTTTCTAAATGTATTAGAACTCAACTAATGGCGGAGTTGATGCACGTGATAAAATGTGCAGATTATTGTATCTGGTGTAGAACAAGGAGATGCTCCATAACCATTTTTTTTTTTCGAATATTGAAAATCAGTGGTGTTCATGCATTTGTACTTACAGTGCGTGTAAAGACAATTTGACAGTAAGACGTCTTGACTTTATGAAGAAACAGGCCATTCAACTTGTAAAACCAGAAATGAACGTTATCTGATGAACATTCATACTACACAGAAAATCAGATTTGTTATAGGTCGAATTCTAATCTATCTCCAACTATAGCGGAATTGCATAATTTGCAATAAACCTGTTTCTTTCGAATGTTTAAGATATATTTGCAGGGAATGTAATGGAATTTGAGCATTTCTAATATTGTATTTGATATGTTTATATAGATTCTTCAAGCTCATTTTTGAAGGCTTTTAAGGTAAAGTTTTAGATATAATTATTAATAATTACTTGTTAGAACTTAATTATTTATGTAGGTCTACAATCAATTTGGCCTGATTATGGTGTAATATGGTTAATCAGCATATTACATAGTATAGCAGTTGCGGGTTAACAGGTGATACATTATTCCTGAAACTATAGGCAGTTTTTTCAGATTATTTAATGTCTATTAACTAGAGACATTTTATATGAAAAATTATTTAACAATAAGCATCGTATATACTTATCTATTCCTTAAGTCATTCTTAAGTAGTTAAAGTATAACAGGTGTACTCATGCTCATTTCAAATTCCGTACGTTTTGGTAAAAAATAATTTACTTCTACTCAAAAGAAAGAAAACGAATTGGTATAAGGTAATCCGTTTCAGTTGCAGATGGTTCCGTCGGTTTAGATTGCATAATTTATTTTTTTGCTGCGGAACGCGAAGGCTTCCGTAGTAGTTCGGTGCGAATTTATGGGAGCAACGGCCCCAGCTGAAACGGTTGGCCACATAAATCAGGCCGTAAATTAGTGTTTTACTGCTACACCCAACGCCCATCTCAGTCGAACCACCCGTCAAACCGCATAGCCTTTATTTACAGCCACTCGACAACAATACTACGAGGATCATAAATAATCTATGCGACGACTTACACCGACGGATGAAATTGTGAAGGAAGCGCGCAACATTCATATAATCCGCATAGAAATGATCATTAAAAAATGGTAAAGCAACTTTGCTTTTCTGGAATTCCATTGAAAACTTTGTATCCTTTTCACCATTATTATTATGTATTATGTAAATCCTTTCAAATATTCGTACATAATTAAATAAATAGTAAGTACATACATGTTTTTTATTATATACATAAAAAGTATATTTACTCCAACTGTTTTTCGCAACCCCCCTGGGATTCGCGACCCCCACTTTGAGAATAACTGCAACAAACTGCATCATGATCTCAAAAATCAATACTGTCACTTGCAAAATAACTCCTAACTCTCCGGACCTCAATTCCCTGGATTTTTACGTGTGTAGCGTAGCTCAAAATCATTTAATTCAAGCATGTCGACGATTTTGATCTCGTTTAGAGGTAGTTATTGATGCTGATGGTGGTTTTATTAAATGATTTTACAAAGATATATTATACTTCAATTTTTTTTTGCTATAGTGGCTCTTTATTATTATGCGGTTTTACAGTAAATTAGTTCTATTTTCTGTTATATATTGATGTATATAAATATATAAGAGAATTTTATTTCCGATCAAATAGTTTTGTATAAATTTAAAAAGAAATTTTCGATATTTTCCCAGGAAATTTTTAGATTCTTTTACCGAAAAACAGGACTAACAAATCCATATTCTAAATTTATTTAATCATATGGGACATACTAATATGTGAATTAGATACATTCATAATAAATTAAATAAACGTTGATTAGTTTCTACATTTTTCACTTTTAATTCAGTAAACGTATATTTACACTAAAATGCGAGAATCTAAATTTATAGTTTTGTTAGTATTTGTTTACAACTCAAAGAACTTGTTAAAGAATATACGTGAATTCGTGTAAAAAAATAAACTTTTATATATTTGAATGTGTATTGAAGATAAATACACAAATTTGCTTTTATAAATAAATATTGACAAAATTTATATGAAAATATAAAAAAACACTATCAATTATCTAAATCAGGTTTTCCCAAACTATGTTCCGCGAAAACTGGAATGATATAATTACTAAAAAAATAATGAAAGTTTTTTCATATTTTTTTAAATATTATTAATAATGTATTATTATCTACCCTACAAAATAAACAAGGTATTCCGTGAAAATTTCAGGATTTACAAAAACTTCCGTTGCAGAAAATGTTTGGGAAACCCTGATCTAAATTATCAATTATTAAATTCTATTTTTATATAATAATAAATAACAATGTTTATTGCATCAGTCGTACAAAAAAACATATACAGAAATAAAAAAAAAGAAAATAAATATATATAATTTCAAAAAAAGGTAACTGATACAAAGCGGTATTGACGACTCTATTTTTATAATGATTGTAAATATTTACAATAAAAATTTGAGTTTACCATTTTTTAGCGGTCTAGCGGATGTTAAGGAAAATATTCTATTCTAGGAGGTAACGTCTTGTCTCTTGAAATTTTCTTGCTTGATACTTTTCGTAATATGTTTTTTAAATATTCAGAATTCATAAATCTCTAAATATTTCATATTACATTTATCATTTCATATATAAATGCTTTCAATGTTTCAATTTTGAATTATTCTTTTTTTTTCATCGGTCCATATATTGTTCACTTTGAACGCAATTTATTTTTTCAATTTACAGAATACACGACAAAAAATCATTAAATGAACAAAATTCAACATTTCGTGTTTTTTTTGTTTGTTTCACACCTTTTTGTTTGTATTAAAACATTTGTTACATAAAATATTTTTGCTATAAATTACTTTAAAACAAAATTAAAATGGACAAAAGTTTCTATGGTAATGATTTTTAATGATTGGATTTATCTATTATAAAAAAATAAATGTCTGTTTTATTAAATCAAAGTTTCAGTGAAACTGAAATGACAACTCATAAATTTACATTAATTAATGTCTTTAAATAAATGCTTTTCAGATATTCGCATATTATTATATTTTACAATATTTATTATTTGAAGATGATATCTTCGAGATTATGATTACTATAAATTAAATAAACATCTAAATAATATGGTAAGTACTGTATGTATTATATACGCACGGAAACAATAATTTCAACGGTAAAACTGTGTTCAATAACAATTTTAGTTAAATCAGTTTAAAGGTTTAACAATAAACAACAATAAAATATCATTTATTATTAATTCTAATATCTAACTAACTAATAACGTAGGGACGATGGATTTCTGTGCTTTTATTTTTTATATTATTTTATGTTTCTTTCTAATTTTAGTATATGATATAATCATATATGAAATATTATAAATGGAAAAAATGCGGTCGTTATTGCTTATTATACATTATATAATATTCCTTATTATATTATATATATATATGAGTACAATAAATTATTTTTATTATTATATTTGATTATAATACTAAAGTTAATTATAACAATTTTGTAAACATTGTTTGAAATATATGAAATAATTTCGTAAGACTAATTTAAAAATGTTTGTTTTTTTGCTCAAATGATTTTTTATAAAAAATATAAAGAAATATTTATTTTATTGTTGCCTAATCTGAATCTTCTCATTAAAAATCAATGAAGTATTAATCTTAACCAATTTTTATACTAATAAAATTTCAGAAATATATGCAGTAGAACGCTTAACGAATATAATCAGTTCCAAAATTTCTGGATTTGTAGAAAATGATGTAGCAGGCACACAATCCGGGACTTCTCTTCTTCACGTCACTCATGCGAAATATCGCTTGTTAAACAAGTCATTTTTCTTATAATTCATTTTGCTCATTAAGCGGAATGCTCGTTATGCGAGATACTCGTTAAGCGAGGTTCCACTGTATAAATAATTTTATAAATTTATTATTCATAATCTGCCACATGCTGGCAACGAGTAAATAATTTTGAAAATGTAATAAATATTACTAGTAATTTTTTAACCTTGAAATGTTAACTATAAAAACTACGCTCCTCCGTACAATGTGGATTCCGGGAGAGTCGAAAGCTAACCGTGAGTGAAGACGGTTGTAGGATCAAAAGGAGAGCAGGACCTAAACATTCTATTGTCCACGATCAAGTTCTTTGTTATTGTGTATAGTAGTCTGATATACAAAAGTTTGTCGAATGCATGACATATGTCCAAAAAGGCAAGCGATCGGTATCTTTTACTTTCTAGGTCTTGGTAGATGGTATTTACTATTCTATTTACTTGCTCTAATGTGTCGTGATTGCAACGAAAACCAAACTGATGATCTGGTATCAGTTTATTTGACGATTGGTTACAACAGGTAAGCAAGATGTTTTTCGACTTCAACTTGGAAGTGGAAGTGGTTTAAAAAAAATTCTTAAATGATTTGCAAACGTTTCTGCTAATTCTCATAAATTATAATAAAATAAAATCCTACAGACAGTAGCACTTTAATTTATATATTGAAATTATTTATCTTTAGTTACTCATGATTGTTACGATAAACATCATTCTTAATACAGAAATTATACATTTTCTAAAAGATTTACTAATATTACTATAGAGCGCAGAATTATTTATTAATTATTGTTATTACCTTTGTATATATTTCTTTGTGTTGAGTATTATTTTTTCTAGAATGTAATGTATGTGTGATCATTATAATTATATCAAATGTGGGTCAAGGGTTTGAATGAAACGAACGGTTTCCGTGCGAGGAAGGCCGCGCGCGCGACTGCAATTACATCTATTTTCGTAGCAGCGATAATGTTGATTCGTAAATTGAAGCAATGGATACGGAAGATCGCACTTACCGTTCATGTTCAGCTCGGTTGCGGCCTTGCTGTTATCCCTCGTGTTTAGGGCGGTGTTGTATCCGGTGGTAGTGCAGGTGGTGCCGTAGGAAACCGCAGATCCGGAACTGGTGCTTCGTTTGCCACCGTTTATCTGTCCGATGGTGGTCAGCTCACCATCAGAGGGATGCAGATAGTGGTCACCGAAACGTTGGGTGTACTGCGATGTGCGGTGCTGATGGATCGAATTGAGGATGATGTTGCTCGAAGTCCTAGAAAGGGCCTTTCTCTGTCGGATGGCCTCTTTGTAGATGCGGCAATACATGGTCACCATGACTATACCCGGTATCCAGAAACTGATGCTACTGCTGATGAGCGCGTAGTATTGATTTACCACAAAGCTGCAAACGTTCGGGTTCTGCAGCTTAAACGTCTTGTGCTCTGCGGTTGTGTACCATCCTAAGAATATAGGCATGAAGCTTATCAGAGCCGGAAGGATCCACACGTTGGCCAGCATGAAACCTACAGTCCTTTGGGTCATAGTGATGGGATACTCGAGCGGTCGTACTATGGCGTAATACCTGTCCACGCTTATACAGCACAGATGAAGGATCGATGCTGTCGAGAAGTATACGTCTAATGAATTCCAAACATCGCACATCAACGGCCCAAAGACCCAGCGACCTGTGAGTTCGACACTCGCGTTGAAGGTCATCGCACACAGCGCTACCAACATATCAGCCATCGCCAAACTAACCACGTAGTAATTAGTAATGACCCTGAGCTTTCTATGCCTTTGCACGCTAATAATCACCAGCGCATTTCCTAAAACAGCGCTCAGGATTATCGTGCCGAACACGAAGCTCTTCACGATCAGAATCACCAGATCCGTCCAGTCCGGGTGAAGGTTCTCGATGGTCGTCGCATTCGTCCTGTTCTGCAGGACCGCCGTCGTGGCATTAACGTGCTCCTGCATGACGAGAGCCGGCAGAATGCTCGCCGTCGGGGCCGTTAGTGTCGCTGAGAACGAGGCCATCGCGTTCACTATCATCCTCCTTTCCCTCTTGATTTGCCTCATCCACGGCACACCTCCTTTTTACTCTACGGATAATTTTCCGTTCGCCATATCTGAAATGGAAACGCACGGAATTAGTATCGAATGGAGGACAAACGGCATCGATGAACTGTAAATAATTAGTGCATGAGCAGGGTCAATGAATTTAATGGCGCATTTATAGTGTCGCTCTTAATTTGCTAAATCCACAAAATCAAATTGGAAGGGTAATTTGTATCACTCTGATTAGTTATGAATTGAATTTACAATAATAAACCGGTTCTCGACAATTACCAAACAATTAATATTTTTTTCTTTCATGATTTAAATTGTACTGTTTGTTTAAAATGTATATAATTAATTATACTGACTAAGTTTTTAAACAATTAAATATTTTAAAAAGGTAGATTAAGTTTAATAAATATTTATTGAAACAGTAAAAAAAATAAATATTTTCATACATAACAATAATAATAAAACAGAAAACATCTAAAAAGGTCTATTATATTATATTTGCAATCAATTATATTGCTATTATTATTTTGTTAAAGTTTTTATATATTTTAATTGTTTTTGTATACAATTTTATGTTTTAGTAAAAAAACTTATTTATTTAGTAATTATTTCATTCTAGGTTTTTTGGAACATCTATTAACTTAGGAACATAGTTTCAAAAACCCTGGTTTTCATTATTAATCTTAAGGGTCTACCTAATTTTGGTTTGTCTTTGAATTTCCTATCACCGTTTTGGAACTATGTGTTTCCTGAAGTTGTCGAGGAAGCTTAGATCGAAAACATGGAGAAGGACGTTATTAAAATAGTATTAATTGAGTATCCTCCTAAAATTTATTTTTATTTATGGTATTTCGAACAAAGCACAGCCGTCTTAACCTTTTAGTAGTCGTAGTCCCCTTAAAATCCACTATTTTAAATTAGTGATATGGACTTTGAATATTTTTTATTATGAGCCAAAAAATAAAAATTGTCAAAATAGAAAGATTACCATTCTTCTAATTATGTTCTACTTTATATATAAATACAGAGGACTTGAGAGGTTTCAAAATGTCGGTTCCCAAACAAAAATTAAAGTAGCAAATGAACTAGAGATCTTTGCACGGATAAAGAGAAGTTACATTTTTGTTTATATTTGATCAATTTTTATGTTCATATTAACGCCTTAATGCAACACTTCGTGCAGAATGCTATCGTTTTCCGCCATTTTCTTCAATTATCTATTTTCTTTATACACTAAAGAACATTTATAAATATTTAATTAACAAATACAAAAAAAAATTCGTTGTATTCCTATGAAAAAAAATCAAGGTTACACATATTAACTTGGGTACATAAATTAAGTTAAGCGTTAAGTAAATTTTTGGTATTATTATTAATATAAATTATTTTAATAGTGTTTAAAATGATTATATTATTATTTTATATGTTTCAATAAAGATTTAAATGGTTTCGAGAACGGTTTAATTTAATATTTTCTACTACCATTTAGGAACGAAATATGTTGTACTGTAATCTCAAATATCTTTTTATAAATGAAAATTTCAGTGCTGGATTAATTGATTTTTCATTGTTTTCAAAAGTTCTTGAACTTGTTTACTGCCCAATATCTCACAAATTTATCATTACTAATACACCCTAAAGGATGATTGGCCGAGTGCCAGCATAATGTAAAGCTGTTTCCTCTAATTAGTGTTATCCGCGTTTATATTTACATCACCCGGCACAATGGAAAGGATAACAGAAAACCGAGGCAGAAATGTCAGTTCCAATCCGCTTCCCCAAGGCGCCTACTCTAATCCCTTACCAGGAAAGAAGATGCACAGCGCGGAGGAGAAACGATAAGAATAAGACGACGAGGACAACGAAAAAAAGCAGCAGCAACATCAGAAGCGGAGGCGACACAACAGATTCATTAGAGAATTTCGTAAATTTATGCCTCGTAATCGGATCAGGCCGGAAATTGGTTATTAGGCGAACGAAATTTTCCTTTTCTCCGCTCGCTTTCTGCTTTTTCATCTTCTTTTTTTTTATCATAAGCTCCGAAAAAAGAAATAAATGAAAAATAAAAGTGCTCAAAAATACGAGACAAAGGAAATGCGAGAATTAAACTCTTAGTTTAAGACGTAACAACAATAAAGTACAGTTCAAATGTTTCCCTTATTAAAAGAAAAGTGCTTATATTATTAATAGATCTTGATTATTTCGTACTTTTGTGCTCTCATTATTTCTTGCGTTGATCAAACAAAAACGAATCTAATGAGAAAGACTGTATTTATCTTACTTTCTGCATTTATTTTGCTTTGCCTCGCTTCGCACCACTTGGAAGCCGATTGCTCGTAACAGTAACAGCGTAGAGGCGTTCAATTAAGCGGCGAGTCAATATTGACACCACCCACCCCTTTCGAAGCCGGTCCTGAGTGCAAGGCCAGAGTACACTTCTTGATGGATGGACCGGAAGTTATTAACGCCCGCGAATCCATTTCCGCTATATCTGAACGTCACATAGTGAAAACGAGATTAAGTGATATATACCATCATCATCATTTTATTTCTTATTATCGTTAGATATTTTTTTATCAATTATTATAACAGTTTAAGAGCCAATTTTCCGCACATAAAATTCAATTAAAACTTTTGATTGGCTTCTGGCGATAATCTAAAGTGATCGATCAAATAATAATTAGTCCAACAATTAATCACGTTAAGTGAACAAGCATCGGTTCGAAAATAAACAGCAAACGCTTTAGATGAATTAAAAAATGTTATATTTACAGTTAATTTTAAAACAAAGCTAAATTAAAAAATATATTGCAGAATTATTACCGCTCGAAAATTCAGACTATAGAAAACCGGCAAAAGTAACATCATATATACCAATTAGTCTACTACCTGTTTTTTTCAAAGTTTTCGAAAATAGCTCCAAAAAATAACATATACCCGGAAAACCGTCTTGGATTCCGCAAAAGGAATTTCCACTATAAAACAGGTTCAACGGTTTACTAAAGTAATCAATATTTTCATTTTTCCCAAATATAAAATTTTATCCAACTCATAGATTATTCCGAATAAAGTTGCAATAAGAAAGCTCCAACTTATTTCCACATGGATACCGCTATTATTTATATTATTATATCTCATTTTCACATTGGATCTTCCAACACCAAATAAACTAACTATTGGTACATCGCAGAAAACACATTACTAATTTTTTCTGATAGTAAACAGGTAGATGTATATCACAACTTACTGATATGATTCAATCAGATTGAACAATGGCTCAAATTATGACTTATAAAATGCAACAATACAAAATCGACTCATTTTACCTTTACGACAAGAAAGGGAGAACCCTAAATAATAAATTATTACCGCAGGACGATCATGCAAATTAACTTGCATGCATTTAGATAGAAGACTCACTTGGATGAAAAATGAATCGAAAAAGGGAAAACACTTTGGTGTGAAATTCAGCAAACACTATTGACTGATTAGAAGACAATCAGTGCTATCGTTAGACAAACATTTGAAATATATTTACTAAATATGGCGAGTAGGATGCGTGAGGAGTCAATTCGAACTTTAAGTCATTTTGGCCACCGATTAGAATTCGATTGAAACATCTTCACGACGTTTTTTGTGCCATTATGAGCAAACGCGCAATGTGCTCGCGCACATCCAGTAGACGGTCATCCAATAGTATTTTGTAGATTTTCTTCACGATTTTTGGTGTGATGATCTCATTTGGTCGACCAATGATTTGTTCGACTTGGCAGCTCGTATGACCTCTGCCACCCAATATTTTAATGTTGTAAATGAATGAGCAGAATCTAGCTCGACTATGACATTGTTTGGACTGAGACCTTTCAAATGAAAGTATTCCATGTTTATAAATACACTCAGAGCGTTTATTATTGATGGCTGTCAAACAAATAATAAACAGCGATTTCAATCACAAATCACGTACAATTGCAGACGCACCCAATAGTGTTATACACGGTAAATTGCAAATGCAAACGATTAAAGAGTAAAAAGAAACTAGTAATAGATACCAAGGAAAAGTACAATCACACCCAAATAAACTAGCGGAAAATCTACTAATAAATTAACACAAACATACAGAATTAAAAACTTTTTAATAACGAAAATAATACTATGTTTACTAATACTGTTTAGTTTCCCATCTACATGACAAATTTACATAATGTTCTTTTTATGATATATTGTAAATAAAACAAATGTTATACACACAATTTTTTTATTATAAATAATTTCTTCTTGATTATCCGTTGCATGAGAACTCATATTTGTCGGTTATATAAAAATCGGTTTCATCGCTGTAGGAACACTTTTCGTATTTGCTAAATATTTTTCTAATAGCATTGGCTGACTTGATATTATTGGAATGTATTTCTGAATTACAGTTTCTGAATTAAAACTTGTAATAACAGTGTAAACACTTGTCATACATCTTTGTTTTCAATCGTGCACGAACATCCTTGACCTTATTTGTTATGTAAACTAGAAGGAAGCTTAATACGCGTTTTCTATCCATTTAATTTTAAATCAATAAATATTGACAATTTTTTAACAAAACAAAATTACCGGTTTAGGTAGGTAAGTCGGGTTACATATTTTTCTCTGATAATAAAAAATATTTAGAGAAAAGTAACTTTATGGTTAAATGGTGTGCAGTTTTAATAGGTTTTGCTGGATGGATGGAATGGATATTGTATCGATTGCGTCAGTGAAATACGGTTCAGAATTGTGTATATGTATTGTTGTACAGGACAACATGTAAATACAATAGGAGGAGGCCATCCCCTTGGCGTCCAATTTGGAGCCAGTTTCCTGTAATTTATATCCATTGTGCGGACAATGCCATTGTGCATCGACTAAATATTGTCAGTCGATAATAAATTTATAAAAAAGAAAGAAACACTTGTTAATTCCATAGTATTAAATTCCCCTTCACAAAAAAACATATCCCCTTCACATATCAAAACAAAAATTAAAAACCGTAAAAATTATAAACCGTAAAGCTAGATTTATAATTATAGCGCCACCCGGGTAGGTTGGATTTAAATTACCCTCCATTTTTTTTTGTATCTAAGTTGGCAAGTCTAATATTTGACTTTTGTTATCTACTGTTATTAGAAATGAGTTTCTATATAAAAGAACAACATATTGTT